CTCTTTATTAGTGGCGATATGCTGAAGTTTATGTAGGTGGGGTTGTGAACAAGATAATGAGCTGAACTAATCATGTGTGAATTACTCGATTTAAGCTTGATTAACCAATTAGTTTGAACTTGAGTTCAATTTTAGGTTAGAAAATATAGTTGAGCCCGAGCTGAAAGCAATTAAGAACTATAGTTCAATTTCAGTTAATTTAATTGAGGGCCTTTATCTTGCGTCCAACTATGATCTCTCAACTCGCATAAATTTGATACTTTAGTCCTCGTACTTTTTATTAAAAGTAAGATTTGAACATTAATTGATTTTATCAATAACTTAAATAATTTAATGATAATTTTATTTTTGTAAAAATAAAAAATCTTAATATGGTATGTAAATAAAATAGAATCAATTAAAAAATAAAAGATGATAACCTTTTATTTTGTAAATCAAAATAATAAAAAAAAACTTTAATTCATCTTAAATTCAAATAAAAAATTTTAAATTAATAAATATAAAAGAAAGCGAGTCAATAACCCAACAACCTTCAAACACTCAATCTATTTACTTAATTCCATGAAGTGGAACCGGGGCAAACGCAATTTTTTTTCTTTCTTTCCCATGTTCAAGATTTTGATTTTACATCAAATCCTTGCTAAAATATAACATGTCAAATGAAACAGAAGATGTCAATAGAAATGATTGTATTTTGAATTAATTAAGTAATTTAGTAATAATTTATTTTTAATAAAAGTAAATAATCTTAAATTTAAGTTATATGATATAAGAGTGAGATGAGTTAAGGAATAAAAGAGAGTTATTTTTTATTGTGTAATTTAAAATAAAAAAAATAAAAATAAAATGATTGTATTTTGCTAGGTCAATAAAATGGTTGTTAGTAAATAATAAACTGTATCGTCAATCGTGGAGTGAAATTTGGGACTGAGAAAGGGTAAAACTATCATTTTTTTATGTTCCACCATTAATTATTTGTAAAAAAAAGAAAACAAAAAGAGAATATTGTTGGGTGAATCTTTTTATAGTGGAAATTGTATACTTATATATATATATATATATATATGAGGAAATTACATACTTCTTCCATTCAACTTTAATTGTAATTTTATTTTAATTTGTTGGCTTTTAAATATAAAAATAATATATTTATAATATCACATCATACTATAACCTTATAATTATAACAAATTATTATATAATTGATTCTTTTTATTTTAAGCACACATGTCATTGATATGTATTTATCTATTTAATGCATTTAATGACATGTAATGTCTATATTATATCATACTTGACATAATAACTACACCTAGCATTGTTGTCTTAAATATTAATTTTAGAGAAAAAAAATTAACAAAAGCATATGAAAAACAGTTAAAATTTTTTATTTTTATTATACAATGTTCTTGTTAAGTAGTGTTTTTGATAAAAAAAAATTAATAATTAACATATTACTTTGTTAAATTTTTATATAAATTAATGTATAAAAATAAAAAAAAAATTAAACTTGAACAATTAAAGTTGATTGGAAATAATAGTTGATTTTAAATAGTTTAAGGAATTCAATGATAATTTTCTTCCAATTGAAATAAAAGATTACAAGTTTAAGTCGCACAGTATGTGAGTAAGATGAATTAAAGAATGATTAAGATTTGCTTCTTATTATATAACATAAGATCCAACATATATATATTGATTGATAAGTCGTTTAGTGCAATATATTACATAATATTTTTATTAAAAAATTATTATTTTTTGTATAAAATTAAAAATAAACAACCTTAAATTAAGACACAATCATACATACAAGATGTAAAAATCAACTAAATCAGTTATACTTATATTCTACTTTTAAAAATAAACTAGATGTGTGTGTCAAAAAAAGTATCTAATCAAGTATATAGTAATCATTTCTTATATATATATTGACTCTTATAGGCATTGAATAATTAAAGCGTGATTTTTACTGATTTAATTAGTCTCTAGCAAACAACGAATTTTCTTATCCCATAGTCAGATTAAAGAAATGATGTTCACTGAATTTTTTTCATAATGGAAAGTGCTAGCTTGCGGTATAGAGACAATCTCCATTTATATTTATATATATGATATGAAGTCAAGATTTCCCACACAAATTAAGTTCTCCTTCCTTCACGGCATCGTATTGGGGGCAAGGCTCTCTTTTTTATGAGTAATATGAAAAGTTGCGACAGTTCGGCACTGTATGAGTGGAGGGTCTTTTAAATTTATTAGCTTACTTAAAATTCACGTAACATATCATACTTAAATGGAAAAAGAATTTGTGAAGTAAAAAAATCTCATCTTCGTACGAAAATTAAAAAGTCATGAGAATTAAATATAAAAAGAATATTAAAGGTAAATTTGTCTTTTAATTTTAAAATTTTATATAGCTTTTATTTTTTAATTATTATGTATTATTTTAGTTTGTTAATTTTTTTAAAAAATATATTTTTATTGTTATTTCATCAATTAATTTGTTAAATTTATTTTTATATGTATATTTTTAATTTTTTAATTTTTAAAAACTAAAAAAATATATATTCAAATAAATTTAATAGACTAATTAATAAAGAGATGAAAAATATACATTTAAAGTTGAGAGATAAAAACATGTAAAAAAATTAAAAAATAAAAATTATA